ATACAATTACTTGTTTTTTTTTTTTTTTAATTATGTCTGTTTTGTTAAATCATTGTGAGTCATGTATACTTGTGGAAAATAATGGTGCAGTTTCCTTCGCTTCACCATTTCTTATAATGTCAATATGAGAGATGCAGAGAGAAGTGGGCATTGCACCCGTTGCAGAAAAGTTTATCTCGACTTAGTGGCTCCATCACTAGTATCTGAACATGATCACCAAGAGAAAAATCAATGGCGGATTCAAAAGTTTTTCTTCGTCCAACGATCCCATTTAAATTTGACAATGAAAATCACATCATAACCCCGCAAAAAATAATGAAATTTAAAAGAAAGTAAAAACTCAGTTTCGCAAGTGTAAAATTTGAAGGAACCAAAGAGTGATATTCTCATCGTGATCATGAAAATTTAAAAAGGAGTTTTGATAAAGTTTTATAGACGGTCCAGTAGTATACTATTATTATACGCACATTATCTTCAACTTAATCACGTGTGCAATCTAATATGTTTGGGACAGTGGTAGAGTAAAAAAAATTTGTGAATTAGGGCCTTTCAATAGATGTATTGAGAAAATATTTTGAACTCATAACATGTGCAATTGAATTAATCTTCACAAAGCTGAAAGACCCATTAAATTTAAAGCGATAATCAAAAGAAGTGTACAATAGAACTAAGTGGGAGGTAGAGAGCATGGCAACCAGTAAAAAAATTAAAATTATACGAAGGAAATTCAAAGAAATCTAGTTTGTATAGTTTGATAGAAAAAGTAGGGCAAAGAGGAGGGTTGCGAATAATAGTTTATTAGGTTGCCTTAAAATAACATTAAAGTCGATTTTAAAATCTCATCCCTAAGTTTTACTAAACTGAAAAGACAAAGAAACAAAACTATGGGAAAAATATAAGACACGACACATTTCGACTTAACTTCTTTAGGAGAACAATTCATCTTCTTCCTCACATCTCATGGTTCTACAACTGCTGGCTTGAGTTCACTAGAAATTTCTTACACAGTAGTCAGGACAGGCCAGAAAGCACTCTGGTCACTTGCTAGCTCAACCCATGGTTTGGGGTTTTACATACGAAAGGTCATGGTGATATTATGATAGTGAATCTCTCAAATATAAACTGTACAATATTTTGTTATATCTTCGATGTTTGACTCTATTTTCTAACATATCGAGATGCATTAACCCAAACTGGAACCCACAAATAGCCTTAGTTAAAACAAGCGTGCAAACTTCATTTCTATTATATGCAACTTTTTCATATCATAATGAATTTTGTTTCTTCTTTTTAATAGCGTGTATACAATGAGGGATTCAAATTTGAAATCTGAGAAGTAGCACAAGACTTAAGATAGACTGTGAATCAAACTCTTCAATATAATTACAAAAGTGATTTAAATATCTTCTTGAATCAGATTCTACTTACCATTATAACCTAACACATGCACTTTGGAATATAAGAACATATGACAAAGTCTTATGATTTGTCATTGAATATAAGCCTATGGTATAACTAGTATTGGGTGGTATTGAAAACACGCACAATCACACAATTTTGCGCTTCGTTCAATCTTTATTCTACATAAACTTTTTTGTAGATTTTTTTAATATTACTCCGCATATTGTTAAATACAACCTACATTAGGATTTATTATTAAATAGCATATATACTCTAATATGAAATGACTATTTAGACCCCATAAGGTTTCAATAATAAAAACAAAAATTATGAATGCACCCCAAATTATGTTCAACGTGTATCCCAAATTTATTTTTCAAGCTCTCAAAGGCAATCCAACCATCTATTCTAGAACAAAACTCTAATCAATAAAAATAAAAACACGTTAATAAGATAAAATTATTTTTAATGGAACATAGAATAGACATTTTATAGATTTCACATGAGGTAAGACTTCTTTTTTCTTTTTCTTTTTTTTGGTTATTTGAGTAATTTCAACGACATCATTGACAATATTAAGCCAGGACTTGCTTTTGCTGTTAAGTTATGTCATGCAGGTGAATTATAAAAAGAAGGGCCATGTCCAAGGACGTACAAACAGAGACAGGAAAGGATAGAAATGGCACAACAAAAATAATAGCACCAGGTGAGTGCATGAAGTGAGAGGGACTTGAAGCAAAGCTTCAGTCTTGACCCCATTTCTGAAAATCAAGCCGAAGAGTAAGGGATGGTCTGAGAGTGAGGTGCTTAAAAAAAAAAAACATCCATGAAAAAAATCTATGAGGGTTTTAGGCGTTTGGTAAACTAAAAAAAAAAAGCTTATTTTGGAAGCTGCTGTGAGAATAAGTTGAAATCAAAGGAAAAGCTGAAGCGTCTATTTGCAGCTTTGGAAAACTGGCTTTTTTTCAAAGCACATAGAGCTACAGTGTTCCTTTAATGAAAAGACCCACTATCAGACTGTTTATTTTTTTTTTTCAAAAGTACTTTACAAAAAATTTTACCAAACACTCTGCTGATTTATTTAACAGCCGCTTATTCTCACAGCACAGCGACTTATTCTCACAGCAGCTTTTTTTCAAAGCACAGCAATACCAAACCAGCCCTAAGTATCGTCACCTTCTAATTTGAAATCAACAGACTAATATGGTATACACAAGGTCGATGTGGGATGTATGTAGAAAGTGTCAGGTGTATGTAAAAGGTGCGGAGTGTGAGAGTACAATCGGTAAAAAGTTTAAGATAAATTTTAATTTAAAAAATAAGTGCACAATGTATTCAATATGGATAATGTATTCAACAATATGTATGGCTTGTATAAAAAATAAAGCTTAGATTTTTTTTTTGATACTTTAGATGCGGTCTCTAGTCCCTAGTCCCTAACACTATTTGACTAAAACCTTAATGGTATTCAAAATTTAATCAAAATCCCTTGACTTTGTACACCTCATTATATTACTATTAATATTTATATTTTTATAATTTTGACATTAATTGTTTGATATTTTATGAGATTCATAATCCTATAAATTTAAAATCTCTCATTATAATACTATTAGAAATGGCTACAATAAAAAAAAATTCAAACGTTTTGATTGAATAAATGAATAAAAACTATGTAACAATAAGAAATAATAAATGGCAAAAGAATGTATCCATAGTGTTAAAAAAAATTGGTACATTTCACATATAACAAAGTAATAAATAAATAAAGAAGAATGGGTACATTATAAATAAATTAGGGTACAAATATAAAATTAAAAAATTATGAGTACAAATGAAATTTTAAAAAATATGGGTGCAAAAAGAAATTAATACATGGGTACAAATTAAAACTAAAAAGAAAATAAAAAAAATTTCATAAAAAAAGGTTGCAAATTAAAAGTGGGTACAAACTAAAAATATAAATATATGATACAAAGTTTAGGCATAAAACATAAATATACCATATGTAATTTTTCTATCATTGATTGATTATACAATGTCACGTGACGGTAAACATATTGGCACAAATACAAATAAAACTTTAAAAAATATGGGCACAAAAAGAAATTAATATATGGGTACAAATTAAAAAAGGTTTGCAAATTAAAAATGGATACAAACTAAAAATAAAAATATATGATAAAAAATTTAGCCATAAATATAAATATACTAACTGTAACATTTTTAACACTAAATAAATACATTTAGAAATAAAAAATATTTTATTATTGAAATAATTAATGATGTTATTAATACCCAATGACCTTAATCAAAAATTAAAAATGAATAAGGTTTTAATTAATGGAGTAACAAAATGAAGGATGAGAATCTAATTATTCTTTTTTTATATATATTTTTGTCACACCAAGCATAAGAATGACATTCTAGCTCAACAATGACGGATCTCCTAATCAAAATGCCTACGTCGATCAACCCTCACACTCAAATGATGTTGGATATATTCTTGCACAATGACTAACTAATAAGGCTTTTTCTTTTCTTTTTAAAAGTGGGACAACTGGTGACAAGTTACGATTTATCATTATTTTTGAACTCGGGCAGACTCACTAGCTCAAAATATCAAACTCAAGACCTCTCACATTTTTTTTATTAAGGAGTTACAGTCCACGCCTTTACCACTAGGTCACTTGCTGTTGTAAAAGAAAAAAAAAAGCATTGACGTCAATACTTATTTTGAAAAACATTTACACTATGTTTAGATGAAGAAATTTAAGATTACTAAGACCATCTCCAATGGTTGGCCTAAAAGCCAAATATTTTAACCCGGAAAATTTAGCTTTTAGCCCAGAAACATATTTTCTGCTCCAACCGTTCTAGCCTAAAATTTTAGCCGGGATTATTAAAGAATGAACTTAGACTATTTTTTTGTTAAATTAATTTTTTTAAATAAATAAGTAGACTATCGTAAATTAATTTTATGAACATTTTAATCTAAAAAATTTTAAATTCCAATAAATATTGAAAAATTTAAATTCTGATTTATAGGCTAAATTTCGGGAGGAATCTGGACTTGGTTTAGTATTTAGCATTTAGCCCAAATTTTCCCCTTGGGTTGTTGGAGTGGGTTTGGGGGGAAATTTTGGGAGGTAATTTGACTTTTAACCCACCATTGGAGTTGGTCTAAGGGATTTTAAAATGATGGTAATTGAAATGATGAGATTTTATTTTCTAGAATTTGTGAATTTTTTTATTTTGTTAACCTAAAAGAACAATGGAATTGAATACGAAATTTGTTATTTTTAAACTCTTAATCATAGAAATTGGGAATGACATCTATTTACATAGAATTTAAACTTGAAAATTAGAGGTCCCAAATTCTAAGTTTTTTTTTCACATAAAAATTCTAAATTTCTTTGTTTATGAATCCAAACAAAAAAATTGATACATGTTAATTTATAAATTCTGATTTTTATCCAAATTCTAAATTTATTTTCATCTTCCAAATATAATGTTAGTTCTTGATTCTTCCAACCCAAGAAATTCTTAAATTTTAGTCGAACCAGAGCTTTTCAATGCCGCGTTAACATGGTTACACGTTTGACCATATGAAAAGTAGTACATTTTAAAACTTTGCGGTCTAAAACGAGAAAATGAAAATTTCATCGATCATTTCGAAATTATCCCAACCAGAATAATTTCCATTTGTAAAATGTGGTTATCGAAACTTACAAAACTAACGCCCATGCTCTCCTCTTCCTTCTCAACTCAATCATTCCCAAGAAAAGCTCTCTTCGTTTCTGCCAACTCTGCTTCCATCCGGCTTCGACCTCTCTCTCAAAACTTACCCGAAATGGACGCGGACAAAAGTCAATCCAAATCGATCAGCGAAGCCTCCGATCGGCCCACGGACCACCGCTTCCAAAACGTCGTCGTCATGCGCCACGGCGACCGCATCGACAACTTCGAGCCCCTCTGGACATCGCAATCGCCGAGGCCGTGGGACCCGCCTCTGGTCGAAGAGGGCAAGGTCCGGGCCTTCTGCACCGGTACCAAGCTCCGATCGGGTCTCGGGTTTCCAATCCACCGCGTTTTCGTCTCGCCATTCGTGCGATGCGTCGAGACCGCCGTCCAAGTCGTCACCGCCCTCTCCGCCACCGAAGACCCGTCTCTCTCCAAATACGAGAGCGATCAGCCCGTCCCAGTCGACCCCTCTAAGCTCAAGGTGGGTCCCACCGTTTAAACGCATACATATGCTTATATTGATATTTTAGTACTAATGTTGAAACTTTGTGATTGCATCGTATATATAAATTTTTTTTTTCTCTTCTTATTGGTGAGAACAACATGTACATGTATTGACGTTGATATTATATATATGTGTGTGTGTGTATGTATATGTATAATATGTATGTATGCAGACCCCTTTATCTAAAGAATTTCAAATTTTGTGTAAAAATGGAGACTAGTTGTAGGCCAACTTCATATCGAATTTCAACAATCTCGTTTATTTTGTAAATTCTGATTCATAGACCATCCCTGCAAAAATTCAATTTAATTCAAAGTTATTTGCCTATTTAATTATCACGATGAAATTTCATTGTTTCTTGTAGAACAGGTAATTCGTCAATTTCTTTGAACTCAATTAAATGTCTCAAATATTTTCGATTTGGCATATTTTGCAAGGATAATCTATGAGGTTCAACTTGAAAAATAAAATGTTCGAATCGTTTGAAAAAAAATAGAGATCCCTTCCCTTAAAGGCCTCCTATATGTATGTATGTTATATTGTCGTTGTCACAGTATATGTTATTGACAAACAAGGTAGAAATCTGACATGTTAAATTGTCGTTGTAAACAAAATTGCACAATTAGAAGTTATGATTCACGGTCTGACAATATAACATACTACATATCGATAGGCTAAGAAAGAGCTTTATTGACATTTAAGCTTGGGACTGATATATGAATGATAATGATATTGTAGTATCCCATCTCTTATTCCCATTTTGCAGGTATCAATTGAATATGGGTTAAGTGAGATGCTAAACAAAGAGGCGATTCGCGGTGATTTGGCTCCGAAAGATGGACAATGGGGCTTCAACATTGCAGATCTTGAGGCTATGTTCCCGGCTGGGACAGTGGATCAAACTGCGGAACGGGTGTACAAAGAGGTAAGTGAGAATTTCTCGGTGTACGTATGTGCGTATATGGACGTAAAATGACTATTTTGTATGATGGAGCCTCTTCCTGTGATGAACTCCAGCTGCCTCAGTGGGGGGAGAGCGTGACGGGCGCCCGGGCTAGATATGTTCATGTCATTGAGGCTCTTGCTGACAAATACCCTACAGAAAACTTGCTCCTTGTCAGTCATGGTATGCTTCAAATTTGGTTCAACACTTTCTCTACTTTCATGTTCCGTTTTATATTCTTGAATTTTTTTTCCGGGAGTTCATTAAAAGAATTTACTCTAGTTAGTCGAGTTCTAGTGATGAGTTCCTCTTTCAAAAGGAAAGACATAGAACCTTTCAAATTTAAGAGAAAACATCCTTGTGCAGGTGAAGGAGTTGGTTCTTCAATTTCTGCCTTCCTGGAAGGCGCCACAGTATACGAAGTAGAATACTGCGCATATTCAGAACTAAGAAGGCCCATAAAAAACCGGTCATCAGCTGCAGGAAAGTTTGAGGTAATGGTAAATCGTGGCCGGACTGGTGTCAGTTACTCACTCCCAACCTCTGGAACATAAGAGTAACAAGACTGCAGTGTAATAATCGCATTCCCTTTAGCACGTTTGACTGCATTTTTACCCCCAAACTCCTCTTGTCAAAGATCATTCCAGGGTTACTGGATTTACAAATTAATCAGACAATAGTTTTCTTCATTTGTTTTCGCAACTTCGGAATTCCCATGTATTTGCTACCAGACCATAAAGGGTCCGGTTAGAAGGAAATGAAACGATAGATTCCTTTGTATCAGAACCAGAATGATCACATTCTGCTTTAAACATTGATAAATGAAATTGTGATTTACCAGAACTATTGATCTGATTCCTTTGCTGTTAATTTTAGTCCAACTCGTCTTTTTTTTCAATGAGAAACAAAGAAGAAAAGCGGATGAGTGTCGATTAGTGAATTAAGAATTAAGCAGGCAAACTTGACTAGCTACTATAAGTAGGTCAGTGTCTAGTACAAAGAATGGCAGTAACAAGCATTACCATGCCAGCAGGTCCTTGTCAATACGTTGCTAAAGAAACTAATACAAATATTATAGAAGAGGTACAAGGTTATTGTCAATCAATGCTGCCCTGATCCTGATGTGTTCGGAAGCGGGTCAAATTGATCAAACATGTCTGTCGGGAAGTCATCGAACACACAATCCGGAGTCATGGTATGGTCGATTTTCTCCCCTTCACAACTTAGACAGCTTCCTACTGGTTCAAACAATGGAGGCTCCATGACAAGTGGTTCTCCTCCGTTTCCAAGCTCCAAAGCATCCAGAGGTCCTAACATGTCGAAATAGGGGTCGAACCTTGCCAAGAATTCTTGCGTTTCGGATGAGAATATTTGGTCTGTTTGGGGCTGTGGGTTCTGCAGGAAGGGGATTACAGAGTGGGAATCAGTCCATGGATCCTTATCAGTTATGGGGAGCTCATGTTGAACGGGGTTTGTTTCGAAGCAAAGAGACTTGGGCTTAACAATATCCGGCAGCGGCACCATTTTGATGATCTCGGAGTTCCGAACGTAAGGTGGCGGTGACAAGCATGGTTGCGCCTGCGACGATGGTTCTCCCTCCGATGGGCAATTGAATTTTGTAGCCTGAAGAAAAAGAAGAATAAAACGTGTCATCTAATAACACAGTTAACTGTCTCTAGAAGAAAGTTCATTCGCTTTCCCAAGTGATAACAAACCAAAATTACTAAAGAAGAAGAAATGTTGTGTGGTTTGAGAAGCCTCCAGATATAATCATTGATCTCCTGTTAGAGGATAGTACTATTTTGTAACATCATTTAGGTGTGTGGTAGTACCTTTTTTCCTTCTACCGAGTTAAAATTTCCTATAAAATGTTAACAAGGCTCACTATAACAATGGTAGAGTCAACATGCTCATGACCCCAATAGCTTTATAACTTTAATGTATATTTATCTATATATTTGTGTATGAAATCTATGCGTAATTGCGATGAACTGAAAGAATGAGTCAAAAACACTAAATTATAGTTTGCTACTGCTTTTATGCAACCCCTGTATTGTTGTTTATAGATTTTCTTTTTTCTTTCCTTTGTCTTTCTTTTTCAATTTCTTGTGTTCGATAAAAAACTTCACTCGATAGGCCTCGTCAAAGCCGACATAATGTGGCATAACTCGCCAGGTACTCACTAAAAACTCGACAAAATGAATCGATGAAGTTTTAGTTTTTTTTTCTAAAATTATATGACCTTATTGTTATAAAATTCTGACTGCGTCACTTACTATAACATATCATATTCTTTTTGTACATTAACTTTTGAAAGAAGAAAAGGACAATTACCTCCACAATGGTGGGAAGCTCATGAAAACCAGAGACTTCCCCTTTGGTTTTATGTGATTTGGAGGAGGGTGTGGCTGGTGCTGCTGCTGATGTCTGCAGAATCCTAGCCAGCCTCTTCTGCCTGCTGCTCCAAAAATTCTTGACGTCATTGTCCGTCCTCCCCGGCAAATAGGTCGCTATTCTTGCCCATTTGTTCCCAAATTGTGCTTGCAACTCTATCACCACCCTCTCCTCCTCCACCGAAAATTTGCACCCACTGTAGAAAAACACACACACACACTCTAATCATAATTAGAATAAAAACCAGCAACCCATTTCTCAAATCTCAGTTAGCAAAAAAACCCACATCTCAGTTAGCAACAAAACCCACGAACCCGTTTCATAAATCTTAATTCGCAACCAAACCCGACAACCCATTTTTTTATTATATGCGATATTCTTGCTCTAAACTAGAATATGGGAAGAGGAGAAAATTCGAAAGTTAGATGAAGGGGAAGACCCTAACCACCAAGTAATCCACCACTTGCAAATAACCCGTTTTGTTAACCCATTTCGTAAATTCTAATTACCAAGGGAACCCAACAACCCGTTTCTGAAATGCTGAACAAATTATCATCCACCAACTTCTTGAAACAAAAGTGCCACAAAAAAGAAAAAGAAAAACAAGTGCAAACAAAAGAGAGAATGAAATGGCGGACAGTAAATTGGGTTACTTCTTCAAGTTGGGACGGAGCTTATTGACCCAACGGAGCCGGCACGACTTTCCGGTACGCTGCAAGAGACCCTTGGATCGAATGGAGCTCCAGTCTCTCGGACCACATTTCTTCACATGCTTTAACAGCACTTCGTCTTCCTCTGCCTTCCATGGCCCTTTCCTTATACCCTCTTCTTTTTTACCTTCCATTCTTAATTAATTACCTTACCCTGTCTCATGCACCCAGAGAAGAAGTAAATATCTTTTGTTGGGGGGAACTTTTTCTGGGTTTTGTTCTTCACTGAGTTCTTCAACTCTCTGTAAAACTTATTTTATCGTTTTGTGTAGTGGCGGTTAAGGCGGTTACTTCCGCTGCCCTCCCCACTAATGTGCCCACATTCCCACTTTTTTCTCTGTTTCAAAATCTGTCTAGGTGTCCATTAAAAAATGGTCTAGGTGGAATGCAAAAATGGCCCTGACCACGTGGCAAATTTTAATTTCCAGCCTTTATTGTTCTCTGATTGGGCAAGGGAGAAAAAAAGGATGAGAATCGTCTTCACATCCTCTTTGTGAGGAGCATAAGGATTTATTTATCTCAATCGTTCATCGTATATCTTACGGTCAGCTTTCTTTAGATACTATTTGTGTTTGATCTTAAATAAAAAATTTAAAATAATTTTTTACCGCAGAATGACTGATGAACGGATATAATGGATTGATCTCAAGAATCCGGATAAGATCCACGCAAATAGTATCCGGATAGGATCATGTTCTAGGGAAAAACCCTGTAGGTTTTATTTTGAAGATTTTATGTGTATTTCTTTATATTTTTTTTCCCAAAAAATTTTACTTATGTTTGATAGTTCCCCAAAAAAAAAAAGTGTTCCACAGAAAACTTATATTTTCTGCACAATGTTTTAAATTGGTATCAAAGGAATCGAATCCATAAAGTGGTGCATTGGCTTGGTTGATAGAATATTTCTCTTAAACCCTTACCTATCAAGTTATTGAGCTATTTGGTTTGGACAAGGAAAACTAAATCCTGGGATAAAAATTTCTCAATGTCTTCAGTCTTTTTCCGTCAATGATTCGCTTATAATATTTTCACCAATCCGCGAGAGTCGAGAAAAATGTTTAGTTTTAAGTTCAACCAAAAAAACTGCCGAAAAATTATAGGAAGCAAGAAAAGTGACTCCGGCAAGTAGTGATGCATGAAGAGCCATCCCTTCGTCACCATATTTTCCTTGGCATGCTGTAAATGCAATGTTCTGCATAAAAATTGCTCACAAAAATGATTTGCATACATATAAAAATAGATTGATCAAACAATGCTCAACAAAAGAAACATTTGTTGCTACATCTCATATCTCTCAAATATACTTCTCTCCATGAAGCTTCTCATGAATCTATTTGGTTAAGACCATTTTCTATTCATAATCGGAGGCAATATGGTCTACCGTTAGAGACAAACACCCCAACTATCATTCACGGAGATAATGCAACTTGTATTATTTCATCAAAGACTATAAGAGTACATAAATACAAATCTCCTAAAAATTTCAATACACATGAGCTCAAAAAGGCTAAAGTGATTGAAGTTAGACAAATCCCATTCTAATGGTAATATGGCGAACCTATTTAGAAAATCTCTATCAAAGTGTACATTCCTAAAGCTGATATATTATATCAACATCCAACAATTGAACATGTTGCTTCACTAAACCTTATCATAATCAAGGGAGATATTGATATGGGGGAGTCTCCAGAAGTACGTAGCTTCGAAAAGAAACACACGCGTACTATTTTATCAATGATGTGTAGGCATCAAAGGGCAGTGTTGTAATAATATGGATGCCCACGTACTGAAAAGAGAAGAAGAAACAAGTGGTGGATGACAAAGCCATCAACAATTCGCCTATAACAAATCACTAACAAATAGCCATTTGGTTTGTACTTCTCACCATTTGCTACAAGAGAGCTAATCTGTAAACACACCACCAATTCTCATCATCTCTATTTGAGAGCAAGAGTGCTTGTCACATCCCGACCTGAGCTTCGCCTCCGTCATAGCATGATATTGTCCGTTTTGGGCTCCAACCACGTCCTTAAGGTTTTGTTTCTGAGAACTCACGCGAGCAGAACTTCTCAATGAGTCACCTATCCTGGGAATGTTCTGGCCCCCTTCTCGCTTAATTTTGGAGTACCTACGGAACCCGAAGCCAGTGAGCTCCCAAAATGCCTCGTGCTAAAGGAGGTAAGCATGTACATACAAGGTATAGAGGATCCACCCCTGGGCAATGTGAGATCTAACAGTGCTACCTAAGACTAGAGAGGAGAGAAAAATAGTGAGCTGCTTTAGTGAGATTATATACACTAAAACTGAGTGTTATCTCTGTACTACTATTGTTTCAGATAATGACGGAAACTATTGGTGTTGCCCTGAGGAGGACGAAGTTACACTTGTTGAACCTTGAAAGTATTGTGCCTTATTTACTTTATACGCCATTAAACATATAGTCTATTTTATACATTTGCAGAGTATTTCATTTCTTCTGTTTTACTGACTTTCAAAAAAATCAAACACAATAAAAAAACCACAGATAAAAGGAAGAAGTCAACTTTCTTCCCGTATTCAAGCAAGGGAACTAGCTGAGCGCACAGACACATATATCAATGACATATATATATATATATATATATATATATATATATATATATATATATATATATATAACTACTATTGATACTCTAAAAAATTTTATTTTGCCCTCTTCACAAATATATTTTTCTTCTTAAATATAAAAAGTTTAGAGTGTCAATAACAAATTCTATATTTTAGAGTGTCAAATGTATACATTATGTTAGGGTTACAGTTACCTGGTAAGGGAAGGAAAATAGGGAATGAGGGTTGGCGCTGCCTGTGAACATTGGAAACAGAGGAAGGGAGGGAAGGGGAGGACAAGACCCCAAAAGGCAAAAACCCTTTCGTCGTCCTATACTTTTCTTTTCCTTTTCGTTTTCCTTTTTACTGTTTGTTATTTTATCCAACTTTTCGTATACCCATGCTAAATGCTTAGGCTTGATTCACTCATTTCTTTATTTATAGGGTCAGTCTAGAAATATATATTTTTTTAATACATCGATATTTTTATATTAGAATAAGAAGAAGTTAGGCTAAACCACACAATAGGCAGCCTAGTTTGATATCAAATTAGTCATCAACGAGATTCGAACCTAAAACCTCTCATTTCTAAACGAAGAGGAATACTACAAAACCGTAGTACTGAGTGGCGTCTAGAACTAAACTTTAGTGGTATTTTTATTTTTATTATTATAGTAGCTAAGATGCCTTATCCATAAATGACGAGTTTGGTATCAAATTATTATAGTTAACTTATTATATAACTTACTTTAGATCTCACGATGATGACAAATTAGATATCAAATTGCTTAAGACGACTTGACTGAAAAACTTAAAACCCTCTTGAACCACGGATTGAAGTTGTATTTTTTTTTTCTTTTCCAGAAAACATTGGAATTCTAATTTAACGTTTTCTAGTAAAAACACTTCAAACAAAAATGTTTCTGGGGCAAAAACAGGCTGACTCATTAGGTCACCAAAAGTTGAAATTGGACGTTAGCATGTATTGGTGCAAAGTTCAATATTGATATGGCATGAATAGTTGGACAGCGACGTCGTTTCAATACTACCAATGTTGCTTCTGTTTACTTCTTAATCAAGTAATCATCGTCTTAAATGTGGAATTCGCAGTTTGGGATGGAACTAAGAACAACCTTTTCATTTCTTTTCTTTTCCTTCTTTCCACTCTGTCCTCTTACTTTCTGACAAGAGAAGCTAAGAACGGTTAATGTGTTCAAACTGGAACGTTTTCCTCTAAATGCCGAGGAAGCGAATGACATTTGCGAATCAACTGACGAGCATTTCAAATTACACCTCTGTAAATGCACTGTAAATGGAATGGAGAAGTGAAAGTGATGACTCAAGAGATGATAAATACTTCTCAATGAGTATTCAATTAAAATAAAATGAACAAAGATGAAAATCCAACCCAGGTGTGGGTTTTATATATATGACAAAAAACTGCATTTCGAAACCTAAAACTATTTCAACCAAAAAATAAAAGCTCATTCATCCCTCGTCGTCCTCCGAGGTACCCCAAGTCCAGTTCTTAGGTTTGCACCAAGCTCTACGAGATCCCCCGCCTGCAAAAGAAGGTGCAGCCATGTCAGTACACGTATCATGTGACGTAGAATGATCTTGATTATTGTTGTCTACATAAGATATGAGAATTGACACACCCCGTCCCGAAGGAGGGCGTGCTGGCCGTCACGTGAGAGTGACGTAACCATTTACACAGTTCGGAAGCTTAAAAAAAATTTCCGATTACTAAGATAACACACCCGAGGGTGAGTCATACTTTTGTGAATTCTGTCAGAACACCGTTGGATTCCTCGTGGCCACCAAAGCTCTGCTAACTTGAACCTGGAGGGGCGCAAAACAAAATTGAGTGGGTCAGTAAAACAAAGTTTTTCGAAAACTTTTCATTTAAAATATTTCTAACCCCTCACCGTAAAACCTGTATACTTTCCCAGAAAAAGTAGATATATATATAAAACCATATGAAGTCTCAAACTTAAATCCCAAATCTTTAACATTTTTCAAGAAAAACATGCCATGCCATAAATCAAAATATAAATCAGGTGAAGTAAGGAATCAATCGGAGACCCTGCAGTTGGTCCTATACGATTAATTCAATAGCTCAATATCTCACTAAGCCGGAGTCACCACAGTGACCTATACGGCCCTACTCTGCACATCACTCGGAACTACGTAAGGTAGTCTATACGATGAAAGGTGTAAAAATACGCTCTAGTGCTTCTCTCATCATATCATCAGCGCGCGCATAACTAAGGTCACCCACTAGTCGGAATCACGCCTAGTGATCTGTACGACTAGCATGTCGGAACCCTCACATGGTCTGTACGACATCCACCTACTTGGATCCAAGACGAGCGTGCGGTGTGGTGAATAATATAAGCACTAACACCTAGGGTGCAGATTATGAGCTCAACACATCTCAACAACAACAATTCAATGAATAAATGAACTCACCTGACTTACCTGTGCCTCCACAGCACCATGCAACATGTATGCATCATATATCAATCATATAACTCATGTGAAATTC